GTCGTAATGCGGGGCAATCGGCAGAAATAAACCCTCAAGAAATAATTGAATTTGATGGTTGTTGTGGGTTTTTCGGGCTCTTTGGCTGTGTTCTGAAGGTTGTTCTTCCTGACATTTCGCCAGCCTCTGTGGCCGGCATCTTCAGAGGACTGGAGTAGGAACTCTGTCCATGCTCTTTTGCTGTTTGTTGGATAGTTAAGTATTTATAGCTGTGGGAACAGCTTTTGTCCTTTTTTTGGAGACAGGGTGATCAGTGTGTTTTTGTTGTGGATGTATTGCTGTGATAAAGGGGAAGAGATTATCTGTCACTGTGGTTGATGGGTGTCTTTAGCTGGTCTTTTTTGTGCAATGATCCCTGGTCCTTGTGGCTGGGTAGAGTTTATTGACTTTTTGCAGGCTATATTTTTCAGTGCTGGGAGCCAGGCATTGTTAAGTTTTAGACTCTTATTTTTTGTTGAAGCTCTGCTGTTGTTTATGGATTTCAGTGGCTTCCCTGTGCAGTCTAACATAATGATTGCTGGTGTTGTCCAGTACTTCAGTATTTTGAAATAGAATTTCATGTCCAGCTTGTTTTAGGGCATGTTCAGCTACTGCTGATTTTTCCGGTTGTTGTAGTCTGCAGTGTCTCTCATGTTCTTTGATTCTGGTGTGAAAGCTGCATTTTATGGTTCCAATATATACCTGTCCACAACTGCAAGGCATCCGGTATACTCCTGCAGTGGTGAGGGGGTCCCTTTTGTTCTTTGCTGACCGTAACATTTGTTGTATTTTTGTGGTGGGTCTGAATACTATTTGTAGGTTGTGTTTTTTCAAAAGTTTCCCCATGCGGTCCGTGACTCCTTTGATGTATGGCACAAATACTTTATTTGTGGGTGGCTGATCTTCCTCTTCAGCTTGGTGTTGTTTTCTTGGTTTGATAGCTCTTTTGATTTCATTCTTGGAATAGCCATTCGCCTGCAGGGCCCAATTCAGATGGTTGTGTTCGGTGCTGAGAAATTGAGCTTCACAGTTCCGATTTGCACGGTATACCAGTGTTTTGATTATGCCTCTTTTTTGTTGTAGGTGGTGGTTGGAGTTTAAGTGTAGGTACCGGTCTGTGTGGGTGGGTTTTCTGTAGACCTTGTGTCCCAATAGGAGGTCAGTTTTGCGTATGACCATGACATCTAAGAAAGGGAGTTGGCCCTCTATTTCTTTTTCCATGGTGAATTGTATATTTGGGTCGATACTGTTAAGAAAAGGTGAAGAAAAACTGGAAGAATTTCTAAACCATCTTCTCTGTTTGAGTTAAACAGAGAACACAAGACATACTAAATATAAAGACAGTGCTGGGGAAAGGTACATTCATGTAAAGCTGGGAAACTTTCTGGTACAGGAGGCTGGCTCCTGGTTACACTGTAGTGTTCCAGTGGGGTTCTGGTATCTCATATGAGAATGCCTTACCCAGCTCACCAAGTCAAAGGAGGCCCTCCTTGGAGGTGTAAGAGCCACCACATGTGGGAGGCTGGCTGAGTTGGCAAGTGGTGAATTCCTCTCCAGATTGAGGCAGGATTGCAATACAGATGGCTATAACGTCTCTAAGAAAGCTCTCTGAAGACCCCAGTATCTTGGATAATCACCACTGTGTAGGTTCCTCAGTGCCAGGGGTTCTTGGATATCTAGTTCCATAGCAGTCTGGTTTCAGGGTTGCTTATGGGGCTGAGATAGTCTTGCTCACCTAGGTGGATGATCTATGCCGGGAACTGGACAGGAGGAGTCAAGACTGATTTTAATTGACTTTTCAGCAGCTATTGGTACAGCTGACCATGATATATTTCTGGGTCACTTCTCTGGGCTGGGATGTGGAAGCAACGTCTTGCAGTGACTCTTGCCCTGTCTGGACAGATGCACTGAAATGATGGTGGAGGTAAACTCTGGTGCCTTGACCACTGGGTTCCTTCAGGGTTGCATTTTGCCACCTATGCTATTTAAAACATGCATTATATCTCTGGAAGAGTCTGCCCAAAGTTTGGGGGTTCAGCATCACTAGAACACACCCAAATCGATCTCTCTTCTCTAAGTCCAAGAAAGCTGTCTTGGTTATAAACTAGACTGTATGTCAGTAATACACTGGGTGAAAGCAAAGAAATCAAAGCTTGATCCAGGAAAGACAGAGATGCTCCTGATTAATCAAAAGACAGATCAGAGAACAGGGATTCAGCCTGTACCAGATGGGGTTACACTCCCTGTGAAAACTCAGGTTTGCACCTTGGGTGTGATCTTAGATTCATTCCTGAGGCTGAATTCCACAAGTCTCAACAGTATCCAGGAATGCATTTGCACAACTTAAAAGATGGTGTACCAGCTCTGCCTGTTCCTTGTCTAATCTGGCCAGTGCCACATGGCCTAGTTACATCTCACTTTTATTATATAACACACTCTACACAGGGTTGCTTTTGAAGACTGTTCAGAAGCTTTGATTTAAAAACTCTGCAGCCAGCTTAATTAGTTGAAGGTATGTTTCTGGGTCCAATTAAAAGTGGTAGTTAAGACATATAAAGCTCTAGAATGTATTCAAGGATCCTTTCTGGTATCTTACCATCTTAACAGGCACATCTGGTAAGAACACAAGAGAGGTCATTTTCAATTGTTCCTCTCAAGCTATGGAACTTCCTCCCACACTCGGCTAGGTTGGACAACACCTTGCTTTCTTCCTCCCAAAGGCAAACCCTTTTATTTTTAATCAGGCTTTTGGTGACTGCATGTCTTGGTGACAGAGAGATTTTAGTAGAGATTGTAGTACATTTTATTGTTGTATGATGTGATTTTAAAAATTTTTTTAAACAAATGGCTTTTAACATTTGAATACGTTTCTATCACATTTTATATTTTAGTATTGTGATTTTAGCTGTACTGTATATGTTTTGATTGTGTGGTGGACAAAATAAAAATTCAAGGACACACTAAAGACAACACTGAAAGAATTTAATATTGATCTCGTCAGTTAGGAAGATCTCATTCAAGACTGAAATGTATGGCAAAACATTGTAAACGGAGCTAAAGAAACTGAAATAAAAAGAATCAAGGATGCACAGAAGAGAGAAACGAGAAAGCAAGGATGTAACTTCTCAACAGCCTAACGAGCCCAGGCATGTCTGCCAACATGCTACTGCTCAAACCTCACCATTCACTTCTCCCCCAACATAGAAATGGTCCTTTTTGAAAATAAAGGACAAATTAAATATGTTTCCTAAGGCATGTTTACAATATTGAAATAAATCAGCTAATGGATCAGGGTTTCTGAAGTTGACTTAAAGTCATGTGGCAGTGATATGTTTGGGTTCGAGTGTGCGTGTCCTCTTGGGACACCTTTTAATTTGTCCCAAGGACACTGTCCTCTTGGGACAACTTTTAATTTGTTTTAAAGCTGTGTTATATAGGTACAGGGGGATAAGGTAAAGGTAAAGGTAAAGGTAAAGGTTCCCCTGGACAATTTTTGTCCAGTCGTGTTCGACTCTAGGGGGGGGTGCTCATCCCTGTTTCCAAGCCATAGAGCCAGCGTTTTCTCCGAAGACAATCTTCCGTGGTCACATGGCCAGTGCGACTAGACACGGAACGCTGTTACCTTCCCACTGAGGTGGTCCCTATTTATCTACTTGCATTTGCATGCTTTCGAACTGCTAGGTTGGCGGGAGCTGGGACAAAGCGACGGGAGCTCACTCCGTCGCGTGGATTCGATCTTACGACTGCTGGTCTTCTGACCCTGCAGCACAGGCTTCTGCGGTTTAGCCTGCAGTGCCACCACGTCCCAGTGGGATACACAGGCTTTCATAATCATTATATTTGAGGCTTTGTCCTGCACCTGGCATGTGTGCTTAAGTAATGGATGCCAAGGTCATGGGTTTCAGGTTGCAGGGATACCTTGCAGTATGATCTGTTTTATATTTTTCTAATACTGAACTAGCGCTATCCCAGTTTGATTTGGTTTAATTAAAAAATAATACCAGTGGCGGTGGCAGCAAATGAGGCTTTATACTGTGCTTGTCCACCCTTGTACTGGCTGCGTCTTACAAACACTTGCTGCTTGTTATTTTTAATATTTGTTTTATTTTTATTTCTTTCAAATTGGGATAGTGCTAGTTCAGTATTACAACTAGAAAAAAATCTAACAGATTGGACTGCAAGGTTTCTCTGCAGTCCAAAACTCATGATCCTGGCAGCCATTATTTGACAAACCCCGCAGACACAATTTACTCCTCCACAGGTGAAGTACACATGTCAAAATGACTCAAAATTAATCATGTCCACAGTGGAGTTAAAATAAAATACTCCATCAAGGCTGTTTAAAATACCCCACTTTCCGAACAATAAACCATGCTTCTTGACCAAAACAATATGCACTCATCTGTACATTGCAGATATTTTAATATCGATTTCAAGCATACTAAACCTGACATAAAACTAGGAGTATTTCGACATGTACCTACACCCTTAGTAATTTGTAATAATCCAGGTTCCTCTATAGAGAGAAATGGGGGAATAGGAATAAAATAGATAAATAATCATCATCTTAGAACGGCAGAGCTGAGAATAAAATAGATAAATAATCATCATAGAACGGCAGAGCTGAAACAGACCCTATGGATCCTAGGGGTCCAGCCCCTGTGAAGGAGGTACAGCGGGGAATTCCAACCAAACCGCTGAGCTATCCAACCAGCACATACTGGGAAACACACAACCCACATTTTAAACGGTACCTTTATCAGATGGAAACGAGTATTACACGGCCCAAAGAGCCCTTTGCTACAGCAATACTGTATCAAGACAAAGTATATGTAATCTTGGGGGGAGTTGCGGGGAAGGCAAAACCTGAAGCAGCCAAGAGTTACTCTGGCGCAATTTACTAGCCTTCCGAGTCATCCTCGCGCTCGCGCAAGCCGCCCCGACAAGGAGGACCCGGCGGCGGCGGCGGCGGCGGCGAAACCGGACACAAGGCCAAGACGACAAAAGGGGGGGGGCATCTCTCTCATAGTCGGTAAAAATCAAATAAAGTGGGTGGAGCCTACGGAAGAGTTCGGGGAACAGAGAGAGATTCGAAAACGGGACGGAGGTTGAGTTATAACAACACAAAACGGTCGCTTTGGTTCCCGGCAGGAAAGTTCGCCCCTCCTCCTCCTCCTCCAGACCTGGTGGGCGAGGCTAGGTATGCAAATGACCACGGGCACGGGCTTCGCGGAAAGGACGCCGCCCACAGCAGCGCGAGGTGGCTCCAGTCGCGTCCGTGAGAAGCCGGTAGCCGAGCGTCCAACGGACTGAAGGAAGGGAGGAGGAGGAGGAGGAGAGGGCCGCGGGGGCGCGCGCTGGGGGAAACTCGCCGGTTGAGCCGCGCGCGGCCGTGGAGGGAGGTCCTTGAAGCGACACCCGCGGATTCTTCTCCTCCGATACACACGGCACGTCCGGCTTCCGAAGCCGCCACGCGAGAGAAATCCGGCCCGCGGGGAAGATGGCGAGCGTGGGGGACGGAATGGAAGGGACGAGCGGCGGCGGCGGCGGCGGCGGCGAAGAGGTGAAACCTTGGTGGGGGGGAGTGAGGAGGGCCCCCGCTTGGGACAGAAGTGGGGGCGGCGGTAGCGACGCGTGCGTGCGTGTGTGTGTGTGTGTACGTGTGAGTGTTGTTCCTTATCCCTTCCAGCCCTCGGAGACGGCGGTGCGGGGAGGGGAGGGGGCTTCGTATAGGTCTGGCGGTCTCTCCTGCAGCGAAGGGGTTGTCGAGCTGGGCTCCCAGCTTGCAAGCGCCAAAAGGTCCGTCCAGATTTGGGGGAGGGGGGGCGGCGGCGGCGGCGGGAAAGGCCTGCGTTGCACCGAGCGAGCCGGATCCGTACTTTCCCCCCCTTCTCTCCCCGTCGAATCTCCTCGGGTGTTCAACAGGTGCTGCCGGTGCTTCTGTTCAGAGGACGCAAAGGACGAGGATGTTGATGAGGGAAAGGCAGGTGCCTACGTAAAGATGAGAGGGGGGGGGAGTTCCTGGACCTTTGGACATTGTGCAGAGGGGTTTAGGGAAACAGGAGCAGCTCCTATCATAACATTTCAGGGGCACCTTTCCTGCAGAGGACAGCTCCTTGCCATTTTGCATGAGGCGGGGTGACTCCATACTGAAAGGGTGGGGCGGTATTTTGGGTGGACGTGGTGGTCAAAAGGGACTTGAGACGGTCCCTTAATGAAGGCTGACCGACAAGAAGACCCTTCCTCTGCACAAAAGTAGGCGTGATTTGTATTACCAGTGTGACTTAGTCATGTATTCACTCTTCAGCCTCCAGACTTGTTCAGCCTGCAAACCTGTGGTGGAGTTTTTAAAAAACATGTCTGATTAGAACAGCTATGAAATCAAGGCAACTTAGTGCTTTTTGTATTGCAGAACTTTCTGAAAACCAGTCTCAAATTTTCTCTTTTGTGTAGCTCTCACTGTGAGTACCTGATTTATTAACCATTGCACACTAGGTTTAAAAATATTTGCTTTGAGTAAGTACTGGGATATTTTTGGTCCCTGTTTAAAGGTCACTGTATTGAAATGTTAACATTATAATTAGGGTTTGGGGTTAGGCTTAACATACACTTTTATAATTCCACTCTCCATGGTACCAGCCTATTAACCAGAGGACATAACTTCTGCTAAACACCATGGTTTGCCCCCAAAAGGCAAGGGATTTTTGTTGTTGTTGTTGTTGTTCCAGACACAGTCCTCAGGACTGAAGTGTGCCCCCTTGATGCATGATGGTTAAATTTGAACAGAATGCCCAGTCTAGGCAACTCTGAAAGGTGAATTAAATGTAGTACTTTCCTCTTTAAATCATCACCATAAGGACATACATGCATGTAGTTTGAGTTCAGGTTTTAGCATTGCTTTTATGTATGGAAAAATTACCTGTTATGCCCCCTTTCTAATCAACCATTGTATATTTATTTGCGTATGGAAACAGAATTTGAATACCATCTAGCAAAACCATGTACACAACTTCCTAATTGACAGGGTTTGGATAAACCTAAAATTGTTAAATGCAGTTTATACCAGCAGTAAGTATTTGTAAGGACCAGAGCTAGAGAGAAGCTAAGCAGAGAGTAAAAACAGCTGTGTAAGAATTTACCAGAACATACCAGGATTGGTATATAACTGGGAGACCCAGAATACAACAGTGTGGGTTGCTGTTGGGTTATTGCTGTGTGCTGTATTGTCGTGAAGTGCTATAGCTGTGGAGCCAAGCCTGAGAGTTCAGAGGAAGCCGTACCTACGTGCTTGGAGAGTGGAACTCTGGCAGAACGGACTGATATATGGTATATGACTATTTACTGGACTGTGACACTGATTTAAGGCTCTGTGACTGTGAAACTGCTGTGTATAGAATAAGGACTGAAGCTGTATATATCTGTAAATATTCTGCATATAAACCAAGTATTTCTGCTACAAGAGAGTTTGCTGCCTGTGTCTGCACTTCACTGGGAACTCTGCCGGTTATCACCACCTGGGAAAAACCTGGTAAAATTCTGCTAACTCTGTCACTAATTCTACACCCTTTATTAGTAATCCACCTACATATGAACCACATCACCTGGGTGGTGCATTAAAGAACAGGAACAAATGGAATGCCTCAGACTAGAGATGTGTTGCATAATTCAGAAGGTGCTTTTGTAAAACAATACAGATAATTTGATCAGGTGACCCAAATTATTCATTTAACATGGAACCTAACCTTGTGGGCTCCTCTCATAAATGTGATGTTCTAGTATAAGCATTGAGGGATACATTTTTGTTTGTTTTAATCATGAGATGCATCTCATTTGCATGGATGCATCTCATGATTGGCTATAACCCAAGAAAATATAATTAATGACAAAAATAGTACCATGTATGCCCTAATACAGGTATTGTGGAAATATATTTATGAAATCTGGGCTGACTTGTGAACATAGTGCATTGTGTAGTATGAAATAAAAGATGTCACAGTGCCCTTTCCAATACAGGTATAATATAAGTACAGTAATCTAATCTTTTAGCATGACTCGCCATTTTAATTGCACTATTTCTATTCAGTCTTACTGTGAGCTGTCTTGAATCTCTCTTTTTCAAAAAGGACAGGATATATATCTGGAAAATAAAATAAATAAATGAAATGTGTTGGGGGGTTGTTCTTCAAAAGAAGGTAACCAAACTGTCATACTGAAATATGTTTCATGACTCTGCTGTGGACTGCTTTTCCACTTGTTGAATTGTTTGATATGCTACAGTTACATCTTGTCCAGGCTATTGTCTCAGAATGGATAGTGTTGTGATTCCTGTTCAGTCCTGCTTCAAACAACTTGCTTTACCTGAATAAATATTATTACATTGAAACTTATAACAGTGCTAGTATGCTATTCAGGGTTATTGAAAAGGAGAATGACAACAACTGTTGTTATTTTTGACATTGTTCTCTGGACATTGCAAGGCAACAGTTATGTTTTAAGAAATTGTCCTTTCTTTCTAAATGTATTCAGTGTCCTAGATTTGTGAACATCATCTTCACTTGGTGATGGACGGTAACGTGGCATGTTTTACTTTCCTGGCAACTCTAGGAACTTTTATCAATTTATTCCAACCACTTTCCAACTTTAGGAGACCAAATCTCTTGTGAGATTTTCTATCCAGGGAGTGAAATTGCAGCAGCCTGCTTTGCAGTGTTTTTACTTAGCCAAATGCAGATCTGTTTTTTCTTATCCATTAGCATCTGTGCATGGCTTCATTATGTTGTATCTCTCAGAGCAACTCTATGTTCATGAGTTCCAACTTGTATGCTCTTATGCTAGACCTCAGTTCTCTTGCGCCTCCATATAAGAGGCACATTCTCATATACCAAATGGTGTCATGCCCCAGGTCAGGTTGTGCTAGTGAGGTTGGTTTATTATTATTATTTTATTATTTATTTGATTTATATCCTGCCTATCTGCTATATTATACCACTCAAGCATAACATGGACAAGAAAGCTACATCTCTGAAATTCCAACAGGAAACAATTGTGTTATCTTTGGGTTAGTAAATGGTAAGTTATCAGGTCAAAAACAAAAGAAAAATAAAGAACATAAAAAAAAACATTATGGCACCTTAAAGAGTAACTGCTGTATTTTAATGTGAGCTTCTAGTCCACTGCCTTGGACCTCAAGAAAGCAGTTCTAAAATGTAGCAGTTTTTCAGGTGCCACAATGTTTTTGTCTTCTTTATTTTTCTGTTGTTTTTTATTTTAACACAGCTACTTCTATAAATGCTAAGTTAGAAACACACAGGTTCCATTACAGGAAATGTTCAGTTTACTATAGTTTCGACTGCAGATAGCATATGTAACATTGTACAACACATAGAACAGTACAGTAATGCTAGATAATGCTTTGATAACTATTCTGACATTTATTTAAGAGTAGTATGTGACATTTTCTAAGATAAAGATTGTACTATTTGGAGCTAGTTGCATGGGGAGACAACACAAAAGAGAAAGGCAGCTGAGCAAAGGGCATGTTGAGAGAGCAGGAATACCATTGGAGACTGATCCCACAGGTCACACTCTTGTTTCAGACTGCAACCTCTTGTCTTGAGACTGTTTTCTGTTTTGCTTTGCTTTAAATTTGACTTCCTTGGCTTTACTGTATGCAAATAATGTAAGAGTAATAGATCTTTATATATAAAGATGGTGCCCAGTGTGGCATACTGGAAAGACTGATGGACTTAGGACTCAGGAGGCCTGGGTTCAATTTCCTGCTTAGCCATGGAAACTCACTGGTAGGGATGATGCTCGTAAAACCACACTTTAAATATCTTATTTACCTTGAAAGTGCTGTTAGGGTTGAAAGTGCTGTTAGCGCTTGAAAGCGCTGTTAGGGATTTAAATTGCTGACATATAATACATTATACATTTTACACTGCTTCTTATTTTTATATAAAAAAACCTATGCACCATTAACATTTATTGACTAATTGATGAATTTGATATTAAGTATAGTTTATTCTTAAGAAGTAAATCCTATAAAGGAGGACTCCAGATGTCGATGCCAGATTGCTTTACTTTGGGCAACAGAACCTCTCAGAAACCATTAGCTAGGGTGGATGGTTTTGTGTGTGTGTGTGTGTGTGAGAGAGAGAGAGAGAGAGAGAGTCAGTGTCCCACCGCACCAATCCAGGCACTCTCTTCCACATCTTTGTTCCATGTAGCTGATTTCTTCCACCTTGCCACCAATGTAAGAAATAATCCTGCCTGTTTCAATGTCCCACCCCGCTAACCCAGGGGGAAGAAGAAGAAACCTTCCAGCCAGCCAATCAAACATAGGCCACATCTACTCTAACCACCACTGAGCCTCGTGGCAAACTATGCCAGCTGCCTCTGTCATTTTCCTTACTGTCTGAAACCCGAACATCACCAGATGTGGAGGGCTGATAGAGGAGAGTCAGGGGAAGCTTCTGTGTGATTTAGGTGTCCCTAGCTGCCTGGGGGGCACTTTCCTGGGGAGACACTTTATGGATGTATAATTTGGACGTTGGAAACCCA